CTTCCCACTGTCGCCAAAGTGCTTGCTCATAGGGGGTCATATGATTGTTGGGTTTTTCTCTGTATCTATGAAGCGCCTTGAGGCGACTTTTGTTGTGATTTGGCGCTATATAAATAAAATTGAATTGAATTGAATTGAATTGAATTTAAAAAAGAAATGAAGTTACTTAAAAGCATGCAGAAAAAATGGCAAAAAACAAAACAAAACATAAAAATAATAAAAATTACAGACCTAATCTGTTGGTGGCCACTTTTGGCCACGAACAAGCTGAAAAGGTAGTGATTTTGAACAAGCCCAGAATAACACATATGTTAAATCAAAATCACATTCCACCGTTACATAAAGCACCTCAAGTCTAAATATGCGTAACGAGAACACGCTCTTGAGAAGGTATGAAAAAAGGAAAAACAAGAAAATAAATCGTTTTTATTCCTGTCGGTGCACATTTATAGACCCTGAGAGCCATGTGCGCACAGTGAAGCCACCAGCAGCCACCGCAGCGGGCGTCATCGGAGGAGTGGGTGGCTGGGAAAAAAAGAAAAAGTGACAGTCCTGTCTCAGAATTCCCCTTTAATCCCAGCACTGAAATCTGAGGATTTACTTCACCTTTTCACAAGAAACGAAGCTCCACCCACAGCATCGTGTCTCTCTCTGTGGAGCAGCTCTAAGTTACTTCTCCGGGAAGAAAAACATTTAAAGGAGGATACAGATCCTTTTAGAGCATCTGGTCAAAACGGCCGCACGCATGAGAGGATGTAGAGGACGAGACTATGGTTAGAAGGTCGTGATGGTCGTACCCTGCACTGAGTATGGAGAGGCACAGGCGCCTGTCCTCCTGGGGCTGTGGGAGTATGTGAAGAGCGGACAGGAGGACGTGCTCCGCTCACCGTACCTGCCCGCGTCTTTTGCGTTCCTGGCGCACGTGCTGCTCTGCGTACCTTTCCTCGCGCTGGATGCGCTGGGGAGCGTCTGTCAGCGGGTTCGGTCATGGAGGATGACCGCGGGCTCGGGTCCGCCGCCGTCTCTGAGCCGATGGTTAGAGTGTTTCTGCAGGGTTTTGTATAAATACGTGACCGTGGTCCTGCCCGTCACTGCGCTCTTCAACACCCTAATAAACCTCAAGTTACCTGATGTGGCCCCCAGCTGCTGGCAGCTCTGCGTGGAGGTGGTGGCATGCCTGCTGCTTTTTGACATGCTCTTCTTCATGTGGCACTACGTCATGCACAGGTGAGCAGCACGCGCATTTGTTGGGCTTCCTTCCTCCCCCAACATGAACCCGGGTTTAAAAGAAGACATTCGGTCCAGAGGGCTGCTTGTGAGGTCCTGAGGGTTTGTCTGCACCAGTCTGCTGCTGCTTAACGCTTTATTTATTTTTGAAATGTGCTTTACACAGAAATGATAACATTTGGCATCCCTTTACAAAACACACACACCTATTGTAACCTGACAGACACATGTTTTTTTTATTAGACAAGAATCAAATAAAACATAACAGCTCCGTCCCGAGGGAAGAAGCTGAAAATTCACCCTATAGAGGACGGGAACCATTTTTAATAATTGATAAAGCCATCCTTACCTGTTTAGAGTACAGGGAGGCTAAACATGGCTGTGACTCACCTATCAGACGACTGGACCATCTCACTATCTGATTCAGTGAGTTTTCCTCTGTAACAGAGGTCTGACCGAACCATGGCACCAAACAAAAGATAAAACGGACTCAATAAAAGAACGATAAAACAAAGTTCAAATTGTTCAATGTGGAAACGAGCAAGTTTCCTGAGGCAGTAAAGGTGCTGGTAACCCTTTTTGCAGACCGATTTGCAATTTTAATCACAATTCAGTTTTTCGTTTATTACGGTCCTGAGATATGATTGCACTTGCTCTATTTTCTGACCTTTTAAACAGCAGACCAGAGAGAAAACAAGAGAGTCCGCTGCTGATACTTGTTACGCATGTACATTTTAAGGACTGATTTCGCTTTTTTTGTCCTACAAAGGATTTTCTTGCGTTAGAAAGAATGTAAACCACTTCGCCAGAAGTGTCAAGCATGAACTCCAGCTTCCCAGTAACAGTATCTTTATTCACATCATTCCCATATAAAATCAGTGTTGGGTTCCTGATCTTTGCCCTTGATAAATCACTTGTGTGGCTAATAGCTGTAACACTGGCTCTAACAGTGCCAGTTAAAGTACCAGTAGCACTCGTTTTCTGTTTTTGTCTGTAGATATTATATAATTCTGACTTCTGAGAACTTTCCAGCAGAGGCGGAGCCAGACATTTGAAACACCAGGGGCTTAGCCCTAAAGGGTAGTATGCATGTGGGATTTTTTTTTTTTTTTTTTGGGGGGGTAGAAATGACTGAAAGATTAATAGCCTCTGTTTTGAGTTTTGTTCAAAAAAGAATGACTTCATATAGGGAAAAATATATATCACATGTGCAGGACACCTTAAACTAGTTTTTTTAATTAAGCAGCGAGGCAGAACAAAATCGGGGCTGTATCAAGACACGAGGACTAAACCCCAGTTCAACCAGACCCAGAACTGATCCGGAATTAAAACAGGACTACAACAGTTCAAAATCAGGACTACTGAGGACTTAACTAAGACAGAACCAGAATCAGAACTAGATGATAGTAGCACTAAAAATCTTCATAGACCCGCACTACACTTATTTTTTAATTCTACCAAAGTACAATATTTAGATTGAGAAAAGTTTATAGAATTATTTAGCCTTGTTGTGCAAACAAGCCTGCATAACTTAATAAATGTAGAATTTGAAAAATAGCAAACCTAAAAAGAAACACTAGGTACGAGATACATGAGGACCTAATACGGTGATACTTTTGGTAAACAACCATTTGACTAACATGTGTGTCTCACCTGCTCTTGTTCATCTCTGTTCTGTCCTCATTCTCCTCTCTCTCCCTCTCTGTTCCTCTCTCTCCCTCTTTGTGCTGACAATCATCAAATATACAGTTGAAACCAGATATTTACAAACTCTTCAGATCAAAACACAAACACTTTTTTAATTGTAACCTCAAATTAGACTAAATGTTTATTTTTTTTAGATTGATAAATATAAAAAACATATCTGTTAACTTTAAGAGTAAAGAGAGAAACTATCTGTATTTCTTAATTGTAAATGGCACCAAATTGTATTCAAATTGAGCCACACTTATGGAGCTCCACAGTTCTGTTCCTGGTGTTTTGGTTGATCTCTTGATTTTCCCATGTCAAAGAAACAGGCTCTGTGTTTTGCCTTATATGCATCCACAGCTGTGCCACCAATTTACTCACATGGACTCTACGAACCTATCAGAAGCTTCTTCAGCTCAGAATGGAATCGTCTGGAGTTTTCTTATTAATTAACAATAAACTTAGTGTATATGTACTCCTAAATTTGATGAAAGTGATAAAAAAATAGACAGCTGTCTCTCTTCATTCTGACATTTAAATAATCCAAAAGATATTTCAATATTTATTTATCCAAAACAAAACAAGTTTACTCTAAATTGATGTTGTACAGTAAAAAAAATGTTCTTGTATTTTCCATAAAGTGTATGTAAATATCTGGTTTCAACTGTGGATATACTGCTGTGTATTGAAGTTCCTCTTGTTTTGCATAGAAATATACTGAACAACATACAAAGCATAATATATAAAATAACATCTACCAGAGTTTTTTCTTTGAAAGAAGCCCCTTATGTCCATTCTTGTATATCAGTACATTACTGAAACCGATTTATTTAGTCGTGGAGGGAAACAACTGAAAATATGAAATAAACACATCTAAGCTAAGACTCTAAAGAAACAGCTTTGTTGTTGTTCGGCTTTTCATTTCGCCATTTGTTGATTCACTTGAAGAGCAAGTAACGTAATATGGGTCAAGTGATCAGTTTAACATCAATCTTTCGTGATACACCGTCATATTTACATTATTTGTACAGTACGAATGATTTGCTTTGGTACCTGGTCAAACTTCAGTTCTCCTCTGTCTGCCTGGCTCTGTTTCTCCAATAGCGCACTCGCAGGCAGCAGCTGCCCCGCTTAGTGCCTGAGCTCAGATCATACTAATATTAGGGGGGATTTACGCACAGTCGTAAATTCACATAGTGCACAGTGTGCACTATGTGCTTCGAATATTGTGCGTATTTTTTTGCTTTATACAGTTGTCAGCCAGGCATCTAACTATGAAAAAATTACACTCCAAAAGACCCCGGGCTTCTGACAAAACAACCCGGGCTTAAGCCCAGCATGCCACCCCCCCCGCTCCGCCACTGCTTTCCAGTAATTTTCCATTACAGCACCACTGTAACCATAATCGGTGTGTGGGTTTTCATCCTTAGAGTTTCCTGGCTGTACCGCAACATCCACCAGATGCACCACCAGCACCACACTCCCTTCGCTCTGGCAGCTCAGGACTGCAGCTCGGCCGAGCTGTTGTCTCTACTGTTGCTGTCTCTGAGCAGCGCCTGGATGGTGGGATGTCACCCTCTCAGCGAGGCCCTCTTCCACCTCATCAACACCTGGCTTGCCGTGGAGGACCACTGCGGCTACGACCTGCCCTGGGCTCTGCACAGACTGCTGCCCTGTCTGGGAGGAGCCCCCCACCACCACGCACACCACAGTTTGCAAATCATAAATTACGCCCCTCTCTTCACGCACTGGGACCACCTCTTTGGGACGTATCGCGCATCGGTGCTGAATTCACGTCCACAGTGACAAGCCTGTTGCATTTTTTTTTTCTCAGATTCAATGAAGGATGTTATCTTTTGGCTGATGTTAACGTGTAATCTCACTATTCGCTCATTTATTACTACACATGTCGCAATCAATAATACAATACAATCACAACTGATACTTTATGTATGTAACCACTGTATCGTAGGCTGTAAGTGAAGACCCCCAGCATTTTCACCTTTGTCGCCAGAGCTTTCAGGGACTGTCAGAGACTGGAGCTGATTGTGAAACTAAGCACCACCGGATGCTGACTGCTCCAGCCGGTGTACCCTGATTCATCCTTCTTTATGACTCAATCACATACAAAATGAGCTGGGTCAGTAAAGTCATCAAGAAAGCATTTGCTCTGGTTACAGAGCAATGGAGCCAAAGACTGTTTACAGACACTGTGCCATGCAACTACAAGTCTTTATGCAACAAGAGGAGCCTGCCCCCTGCTGGCTTGTTTCAGAACTTATAAACTGAGCTATGGACAGGAAATCAGATCACCTTTACCTTGGGGAAAAAAACAATGAGCCATTGTAGTTATGCTGAAGCGAGACATGTTTCATGCAACTGAAAATGCACCCCACCCCCACATATTCTCATAAACTCAGAGTGACTTTGTTACTTTGGAGGAGTGAATCTGAAACAAAGACCTGTTTATACAACCCAGTACAGTGAATCTCATTTTACAGTTCATCAGTTTAATACTTTAAGCTCGGGCTTTTTAATGTGGCCAGTATATTGTTATTGTACAGCGGATAACAATCACGGCGAGGAGATCTGGACACATTTCAGATCCCCCACATCCAAAACAGAAAACTTAATTAAAAACTAAACTGAAACAAGTAAACCAGTCCAGGCAGAGCAAATTCAAGTGCAAGCTTTGCTTTTTGAACTCTAAATGCATTTAGACTGAAAATCTTTAGACAGATCAGCTATTTTGTGAGGAAAAGGTATATATTTTAAGTAGGCTTAGTTAGACACCTATATATTTTATTTTTCCTGTTACATTCAGGGCCTGTTTATGAGTGATTGTAAAGTTGTGTTGGAAATCTGCCCGACTGCTGTAGTGAATGAAAGCAGGACACAGACTGGGTTTTTTTTGCCTCAGGCTCATGTTTCCACCGTGCTGCTGCGGTTAGTCATTTGGATAGCACATTTTGAGCCTTTCAGTAATCAGTTATATGCTCTGCTAACACGGTTCCTTGGTGCCTAGAAGAAAGGTCTGTTTTTTCCATGGTTTCTGCAGTTGCAATTTTCAGCTGGCATCATGTCACCAGCTACCTGAGGATCCTTTACATATAACAAATAGAGAGTTTGTCAAGACTCTTGCATTTCACAGCAGTGTTAAGTCTAGCCATTATTTATGGCCCATTATCGCAAGTTTGCCTTAAGGGAATGCAATGCCTGTAACACACCATGCTTACAGGCAAGCAAGAGGGAGGCAGAGTCAGTGTTGCAATCTTCAGGATGGCAAAAGAAAGGGCTGCAAACAGTAATAAGAAGTATAAGTAGGTGAGCCTGTTTATGATTTTGGAAGGAGCACGGCTTATATAATGAATCAAGCATGTCATTCACAAGCAAGAGCAGTGTCGATAGTAAAGATGAAATCTCTTCCAAAAAAGCTAAAATACAGATCAAAACAATGGGAGTGAGGCAAAGGGAAAATAAAGGAAGTTCTCGGGAAGACTCGTGTCCAAAGGCAGGCAAAGATGGCAAGAGAAAAGAGGCACATACAGCTTGCATGCACATGTGCTTAAAAGACATGTTTAAGGGGCCAAATACAATTTATAGAGCAGGGGGTCAAACATGAGCCCTCAGGACACAAATCCTTCAAAAAAAGACTCCAATCTAGCCCACCGGCAGCTTTGAAAATGTGAACAAGGGCACACATTTTGGAATTTCTGACTGTATTTTCACAGCCTCTTCTCCTGATAAAGAAGGCTCTCATGGCTTTTCTACTTGACAGAACCTTTCCTTTGTTTGTTTGGTTGTTTTTTTTTCACACATTTACTCAAGTTCAGTTGTTTTCGAGGCCGCCCCTCCTTGAGCCTGGTTCTGCCAGTGGTTTCTTCCTATTAAAAGGGAGTTTTTCCTTTCCACTGTCGCCAAGTGCTTGTTTTCAAGGAGCTGTCTGATTGTTGGGGTTCCGCCTCTATTACTGCAGCGTTCCTTTTTTGTACAGTATTATGATATCATAGGGATTTAATGTATAGTTAAATGTCTTTACAGTGACAGAAAGGGGAGTTTTACTAATCTGACCAATTTAGGATTAAAGTGGGCTGTATGTGGCCCACCGTCTAAAGTGAGAGATTCCCAGAAAGATAACAACCTCATGTATCAGTCACATTAAACCTTTCAAACAGGTACTTTACACCACCTTAGCTCAGTGGGTGAGCAGGTAAGAGCATCGGCTCGTGCTCCAGTCCAAACTACAGCCCTTTTTTGCGCAACTTTCCTTTCACTTCACTGTCCAATAAAGGCAAAAATGCCAAAAAACAAAAACAAAGAAGCTTTTAATATATTTCTTTGGAAACTTTGAAAAGTGAGGGCAATTACTTTAATGAAGAATGACATGTGAATACTTTCAACGAGCTGAATTTGCTAAGTCATCCTTGGCTGGGACTACTGCAGTCATCTGTTTTTCATTACTTTGTCATTACAATGGGCTCTGAAGTTTCGCAACAGCAGACCCAAATGTTTCAAAGGTGCTTAAACATTTGGAGGAGATTTTTTGTTTCTGTTGCTCATGATGATCATGCAGTGCCTGGGAAAACTGCGCTTTTCCTGAGAAGATTTGAGGACAGAGCAGCAAGAGATGAGCGCTGGGTGGTGGAGCCAGGAGATTTAACGATAAGCATGTGACCCAAAACGGAAACAATCAGGCCTTATTACAGACCCGACGTCAGAGTTTAGGGCGAGTCACTCAGCTGTGGGTGACACACACCAAAACACACGTTCACAGCGGGACGCACCTCGGGGTCCAGCAGTCGGCGTCGTGATGTCAAGCCCGAGGAGAATTACTGAAGCACTTTGAAGCGTCTGTACACGGGGAACTGCTCTGAATGTTTACTTGTTAGGTGGGCTCTTAAACTTGGCACGTAGGCTGAATGCTCCACATGAAGTAACAGTTCATAAAATCCTTTCAAATCAAGAGTGAGAAACAACAAGAGCTCTGCAGTAGTCCTTATCAAAGGAGCACAAACCAAAGACTTCCCATTTCATCATATTCCCTGAAAGCTTGCCATTCAGTGACAAAGGCCAGATTCATATTTCTTCCATAGTTCTGTAAATATTCAATTAGCAAGCTTCGCATAGCTGAGGCCGCCTGTTGTCTCAGTAATTGAGGTTCCTGCTCTCTTGTTGCCATTTTTAGCCGACCTCTGCTCTCGTCTTGCGTGAGGGGCCATCCAGCGCCTGAGTTGTTTGCTTCTCAAACATTTCAGTGCACTTGTCATCAGCTGGCTGTGGCCAAAACAGTTTTTTTCCTCTTCTTTTTGGCAAAAGCAACTTAAAACAAGCGCAGCTATTTTGTAAATACGACATTCTGAAAGGCAGCGGAAGGATTGCAAAACGATAGGACTGTAATAATTTAGCTATGCTATGATTTCAAAAGATGCATTTTAAACATTACACTTCTCACATTTATTTGCTGTATTTGTGATCAGAATCATTGGGTTTTGTACCAAGTGTGCAGGCAGCTAGGCTACAGTTAGCTTGGCCTTTAACAGAGCATACAAACAGGTTGTGTGTGCGTTTTCTTAATATTCATTTGTGACTATACGTTTATTTTATAGTCGCTTGCCTGCTACCAGACTCCAATCTTTTCCTAGATTTCTATAGTTCACTTCACACATTTAAGTCTCCATATTTCATCTTTGACCTAATTTCCTGCAGCTTTAGCAGTTTTATTTACTAGAGGTGGGCGGATTGATGCAAATATCGATAGTCTCTATATCATTAGTTGTGGTGGATTGATACTACTGCGACAGGATCGATACTTTGTTTCAATCCTCTGTGTAGTCCACGAAAAAATATGCCTCAAACATGCTCTTTGAACCGTTTTGTGTTGACTGTCACGTCTACTTTTTTAAAATAACTTCTAATACCTTCAAAAAACAGAAATGTATCCAAAGAGCTTTACAGACCTACACATTTGCATTAAAGGTCTCCAAAAAAACAGTTTCAAAATACATGAAAAGCTGAAATGTGTTTGGAGCGGCCATTAAAATGTGCTCAGAATTTGCAAAGTTGTAACCCATGACACACTGATCTCCCCTACACAAGCTTCCTTTATAACTCAAAAGTATCAGTACCAGCAAGACTGGCCCTGTGTTTACTTGGAATCAGATACCAAAAATGAGTAATATCGCACAGCACTATCATTTACCCAAACTGAGCACAAGTGCCTTTCATAGAACTTTATTGTGATCCACATGATTAACAAATCAGAAAGAACAGAAAGAGTTCAGCATTTCAGGTCTGAACTGCATCTTTTATTTAAATCTTCAGTGTGCATTGGTGCGTGAAAACAACATCACAGCCAGTCTTGCGATTGCAATCCCACAGACATTCACAGAAACCTCTCCAGCAGCAGAAAGAGATTTCTTTGCTTTTTTTGTGTTTGTTTTTGCTTTTTATGAACAGGTTTTCCATCATTGCTATCTGCGGCCTGCGACCTGTCAGTGCGAGCAGTAGCTCGTCCGTTTTAATCATTAGCGGGGCCACAACTTATTTTCCCATGGTTCTTTGTTTGCTTGTGGTGCACGAACTGTGACCTGCAAGCTGATACTGCTGGCCCGGGTGATGTGCAAGTTTGGTGAAACTGCAGGGATCAGTGATTCAGGCACACGATTCATTCAGGATTTGTTTTTAATAATTATTCTTTATTCTTTCAGAAACTGTTAGCATTTCTCTTCCCAACAAAATTCACTTGTGCTGCAAATGCATTGTCATGGTTGCAAAAAACGTCTCTATGCTGACTTACAGTTATACATATATAGCTTTCTACTCTGTTATAAAAATCAATAAATTAGAACAATAAATAGTCTTTTATTTGACACAAGCAGCAGAGGTATCAAAAGGCCTTTAAGAAAAGAAAACAATGATCTTCTTTGGGAATCCATCTATGGATGATGTGTAGCTGCTTCCCCACTCCACAGTAATGTTCCAACAAAGACATTTACCATCAAAGTGGGAAAAACAAAGGAGTTGGAGATATGTCCAGTTTGTGTGTCTGTGGGTGGGTGGGTGGGTGGGTGGAGGGGGGGTCCACACAGTGCTAGGTCAGCAAGACAAGCTAGTTAAGAATGTTTGTTGCCTAGGAATGTGGCCCACCCCTGCCTCACTCCCCCGAAGCATCACCTCAAAAGCTTCTCACAGCGGCTTTAAGTTCTCCGAAGCTGAGTGGTGGCATACATGGTTCTCAACCAACAACACCTTGTTATCACTGAGGCTCGGGGGAGTGGAAAAGAGGCATGTGAAGTGGGAAATGGGGTTAGGATTGATAACCCTGACACTGGGACCTCAGCACAGTACCCACGTATCAGGAGGCCACAGGAGGCAGGCGGTGGGCCTGGAGAGTTCATGCCTTGTCAGGTTGCCTCGGGGAGGTCATTTCACTGCGCCGAGGCACATGAAGTGCTGATTAGTGTTTGCATCAAGTGGGGAGGCTAGAGATAAGTGGAGAGGAAGGCAGATGTCAGGGGAAAGGGGAGAGGGAGGGGGGCAGCGGGCCCACTAGTTCCCACCAGGCTGCAGGATGGGCTTGGTTCTTTGGGAAATCTTGAGACTTTCTAGTCTTACGTGTATGAGGACGTGTATCGTTATTGACAACAACGTCCATATTCACCTTTGCTGTATAAGATGAAATAATGTGTCTCGTGGTACAAGATATTATATTTGCTGCACATTTGAGAGTTCTTATAGTTTCATGCATAGTGACTGAACACATTCAGTCCTGCTGAGGAACCCTTATAGAGACTGTAGGAATCTGCATTCTCAGTTCATCTCCCTCTCTTTAGTTATTTTGTCCTTCCTCTTATCGTAAGACTTTCAGTAGACTTTCTAAGATAGTCCAGATTATCTGCAGCCACACTCGGCCACCACCATGCCTTCATACTTGTACTTGTAGGTGACCACCCCCGTGTCGTCCAGGTACAGCAGGGAGATGGGGTCCAGCTTGGTGGGCACACAGCACGCTCGTGCTGCCTTCTGAGGGCTGTTGATGTTGACCAGTGTCTGGACGATGGCGTGCTTGGTGGGTGTGACGTGCTTTGTCAGTGGGTAGGAACAAATTCCACTGCACTCAAAGGCATCATAACCAGTGGGGGCAAGGATCCAACTGTCCCATCCAATGTCCTTGAACTCTACGTACAGAGACTGCTTCTTGCAGTGGTTTCCCTTGGCGTTGCGGCGAATGCGAGAAGCCGAGTCATAGATGAGATTGGAGCGCATTTGGATTAGGTCTTCCTCATCTGGCTCACTTTCTTCACTCCCCCAAGTCCCAAAGTCATTCTGCACGACCATGTTAGAGGTTTCGTGGTCGATCATCTCATTCAGTTCCCGCCTGTCATCGCGGTGATCGCTGCTCTGATCATCGGAGAAAACAATTAGCAGGGGTTTGTGTTTTTTCTCTGGGCTCGTGTCAATCTTCATGTCCCCTTGAGGCAGACTGCTGTCTTTGTTGGCTTCTGTCACGTCTTGAACATTACCATCATCGGCGATGCTGGCAATATGCACCTCCAACCTGTGTGTGGTTCCATCGTCAGATCCATGCCAGCGCTGCACAGCAGCAGTGAGGTCAAACGCCTCCCAGCCGTTATCGGTGCCGTAGACCTGGCGCGAAGCCAGTTCCACCAACTCTATCCGCTCCTCTCCTCCGCTGAATGCGTCTCCTCTGGCAGCATTCGCATCCGTCACGTTATCGTCATGCGATACCAGCTCGTAGATAGTTACCCGGCGGTCGACAC